GATAAACGGTGTAATCGTCGTCGAGAATGGATAATGAATCCAAATGGTAAAAGCTATGTGAGCATTTTACATGAATATTTACAGCAAGCATTGAAAACCCAACCTTGGTATGAGTTTAAAGAACTTGAAAATACAGAAACACCTTATTCTGCAACTGTCGTACTTAATGATGTTCAATATGGTGTTGGTTTGGGTAATAGTAAGAAGCAAGCAAAACTTAATGCTGCTCAAGCTACTTTAGACATACTCATACCTGAAATGAAAAATAAAATAGATTCAGATATTAAAAACCAACGCGATCCAGTAATATTTGATCAAATTAAAGTTACCGACCCCAGAATTACTGAATTCTGTGCTAAAACCACAGAACCTAGTCCGTATGCTATGTTATTAGTGTGTTTGCAAAGGAATTTTGGTGAATGTGAAATAGGTATTGAATATAAATTGAATAATCGTCGTAGAATGTTAAACCAATGTACAATGATGGTTGGTAAACATACAGCTTCCGTTGCTTGTAAAAATAAAAGGGATGGTAAACAAAAAGCTTCTCAAGTAATATTGGGTTTATTACATCCACATATTGATAATTGGGGTTCGTTGTTACGTCTTTATGGTAATCGGAGTATTAAGAATGCTAAAGAAAAAAAACAAGAAGAGCAAGAAATCACTCAACTCCAAAGTAAAGCTGCTGTGAATCAACCAAATTTTGCTATACTAAATAAACTTAAAGAAGAAATGTTAAAAATTAGAGACCAAAGAAAATTAAAAGAAACTAATGAAATGTTAGGATTACCTCAGACAATGCTTGCTACAACATGTCCATATACCATAACAATTCCATCATCATCTACTARTCCTAACTAATAAATTGATTCAATTAGTTTATTTTTTATATGCTAAAGTTTAATACCAACCATTGATTTTGAATTAACTGTATTAAAATTTAATTCAAATTTTATGTTCCTAAAAGTACTTATTTATTTTGGCTAATGGTAATATATTTATAATATAAACCTATAACACAAGGTGTTTTTTGTTGTTGTTACCTTATGTTGCTTAATTCAACACTATTAATAGTTTAATTTATGAGCACAATCTTTGTAAAAAATTGTAAATAAATTATGTATTTTTGAAATTACCAGTTTTTATATTTAAATATCTACAGTATTAGATTAAAAAAAAAAAAAATTACAGTAGAAATCTGTTATGTGTTTCAAGAGCCAGCTATTTTTTCTCATTGTAACAGGTTGTTCATACTCAATACTCAAATGTGGTCAGAACAAGTGTTCGTTGTTACTGGTTAGAACCAGGAAATAAATATAACAAAAATCAAGACAATTTGTATAAATAGA